TATTACTATTGAACTAAGGCGTACATACCAGTAAGTTTTTGTTCCGACTCAGTAATACTTTTTTTGATGCAAATATTTGACGAGTCCACCGATGCGTATATATATATTCATAGATAGATCAAGGAAAAACGAGTAAACTATTATAATCGTCACTATATATATATATCGTTTTGAAATGGCACTCATTTGCAAGGGAGAAAAATTTCCACCATCTGCCGCAGCTACAAAGACAAATTGTTGGTAATTTTCTTTTACTTTTCGTTATAATACAGATATAAATTAGATCAATCCTATATTATTTAACCTTTATAAAGTAGTTATATTTTTAAAGAAGCTAAAGAACAAAAAATGTCTCGTGTAATCTCAGTATAAAATGACCTCAATGAACCTTTTTTTGTTAGCAGAAAGAAAGGAAAGATAAGAAAATTGTTGTGTACTCAAATATCTTCCACGAATGTCCTCAAATTGACTATTGCCTATTCATTATTCTTTTTATTTTGACAAGTCAAGACAAATTTTTAATTTTAGGATAACTATATATTTTGTTAATGTATAATCAAGAAGAGAATAACGATAAATATAATAAATATTAATACAATTTATTTTTTGTTTTTTTAATTTTTATATAAATTAATTTTATTATTTTTAAGAAAAGAGAAAGATTATAAGAAAGAAAAAAAAAGGAGAAAAAAGAGAAAAGACAAAGGAGAAAAATAAATAATTAAATAGAGTATGAGGATAACGCGAGGCCTGTCGAATGATCTTTTCAAGAGAATTCATATAGAAGTAGAATTATAAAGGGAAGTTCAATTGAATCTTGAGTTTTTATATTAGAGGAACAACGATTTTGAATATCGAATTTTTACATTGCAGGAACAACCCATAACGACGATTAGGGTGTGGGTGTGGGTCTGGGTCTGTGTGTGGCTATCGATCTGCTGTACACCCAAACCCATGCCATCCACCCCACACCCATGCCCACACCCTAGTCGTTGCTTTGTTTTTCATTAAACAGAACCAATTGAAAAAAGAAAAACTCTCTGCTTACTTTGAACTTAGATATTGTTTAGATTTTGGAAGATTTCTTTATTGATAAGATATTCTTTCAAATTTATTTCAATGTTTAAGACAATGTAGAGCTAAAGCTGCCTGATGAGGACCCTTGAGAAAGGTCGAAACTAGTCGTAGCTTTCTTTTTCATTAAGCACGAAAAAAGGCTTGAATCCTACAAACGGATCTTACATGAGATATGGCAAAATATATTTCAAACAATACCTCTTATCCAAACGAAACTCATCGTCGGTACATTAAACAATCACACTCTCATGCGCGAATTAGTGCGCAAACGACCCAAACAATCGTTACTTACCAACAAACGATACAAGCACTCCGATATTAAAATAACTCCAAATATAAACAATATACAACAACGAACTATATATGAAATAAAATAGACAATTCTTTTCCCCATTAAACTAATAAAATAAATCCTAACCACAAAAGACATGAACCCACCAAAAAAACTCTCCATAAAACCCATAATGTAAAACCCTCCATATATATCTATTTATTATTTTAGATGACACATCCACGAAGCTTCGAAACGCTACGACAACAACCATCATGATCAAATATATGCAGGACAACTGAAACCAACATCAATGATCTTCAGCAACACAACCGGCCATATCAGCGAATCTAGATATTGGCAGCTCGATCACACCACTGTTCTTCAAAAAACTGTGTAACTGCCACTATGTCTCTGACGTAGCAGTGTAATAAAATGTTATTCTAGTGTTTGATTCTTTTTTGTAATCATACAGAATTGACATTTTTGTGATTAAAGTCAACCGATGATTCCTTTAGCCGGGATGAAACCCAGATATTGGCAGCTCAATCACACCCCAAATTTCTTTTGGATCTTCAATACTGGTACTAAGGCCACTTGATAAGATTGAGTTAGAAACATTAGAAATAATCTATTAGGTTATCGTGGTAACTTATACACACCCACACCCTTATTAGAAGTTTCACTTCAAAACTCCTTGGATAAGAGTATCTTATGACTATTTTGAAGCTTGGAAGTTTATCTCTTAAACTTTTGACTCGAATAATTCATAGTAGGAGAGTTATATACTTAACATCTTTCAATCATAAGCAATTGATAAGTTTAACATTAGCGCTTATCGAAACGCGTCTTGCTAGCTATTGATTGATTCTTACTTCAATCATTCTACAAACACACCCACACCCACACCCCTAGTGAACATGTGATGGTTAGGGTTACAACTACACTCACCCAGCTGGTGTTTGTAAATGCTGTCTTTGTGATCGGAATAGCACACACTTAGAAATATCAGAAAATTAAAAAATGCTATATTATTATAAATAAAGCAGAAAGAAAATCTCCGTTCTGATCTATTCATAAATTTCTTTCACATAATGTATATCGTTTGACAGCATTCAGCTGTTGGAAGTGACGAGAATTCAGCTCGAACAGAATGTGAAATACTATTTCAGCTGCATTTAAATGATTTATTATGTGATGACACATCAATGTTCCTTAATGCCTGATATTGAACAGTATTTTTTTGTGAAAATGTATTGCTTATTATATAATATGATCAGTGACTGAAACGAATCACTCAAGCAAAACCGTCTGTCTATAAAGTAGGGTTTTTGTCGTTCTCCTCTTCCTACATTTATAAGTATACACATAGACACCAGCTTTTTGGAGAGTGTGGTAAAGAACGGGACGTAAAACCAATATATGAAATAATCATCATTTCAACGGTTATTGCAAGTTTGTTTTTATGCTCTATGACAACGATAACACACTCATTTTTGCGTTTTTTCGTCTATTATATTTAATCACGTTTTAGAGTTTTATTATTCGTTTTCGATTAAAAATAAGAGCTCACATTAATTCAATTGATTATAGCACTAATCAAAGGAAAAAAAAACTGTTGAAAATATCATCGATCGAACGGGCTAATATTCCAATGGCTGATATCAATACTATTAAGGACAAGAGTCACGATATCTGAACTCTAATTTGGTTGAATCCAACAATTGACGAATCAAATGAAGACTTCAAAAACTCAATACAAAAATTACGTAAAATCGTTGCATCAATTACAACTTTCAGCAATGTCGGAGAATGCCGTGATTTTCTAAAGAATATAGAAGATGAAAAAGTATTTGTGATTGTATCAGGTGCATTAGCACAACAATTAATAGAAGACTTTGGAACTGAAACATGGGATCAATTACATTCTGTATACATTCTTTGTGACGATCCAACTAATTATCATTATTTGGTTGAAAAAGCATCCAAAATAAAGGGTGCATATTCAAACATTAAAAGTATATATGAAGCTTTGAAAATATCTTGCGAACGGTATGATCGAGCTACAATCCCGATGAGTTTCGATTATATCGATCCATTATTTATGTATACACAGATTCTTAAAGAATCATTTTTGCAAATTCAAGACGATAGTGTCAAGTCGATGAGTAAATTCGCTGAATATTGCCGTGTGCACAATCTTATGAGTTCAGTAGAAATTGACAAAATGGAAAAAGGATATCGCCATCGAAGACCCCTTGAATGGTATACGTCATCATCATCTTTGTACTCTATTCTAAATGGTGCACTTCGGGAAATGAATGTTAGTATTTTACTCAAAATAGGATTTTTCATCCGAGATTTATATGAAAATATCGAAGGCTTATGTGAAGAACAACAATCTAATCCAAGAATAGCTAAAACAGCTGCTTCTGATGTTTATCGTGGGCAAGGCTTAGTTCCATATGCTTTTGAAAAAATGAGAAAAGGTGAAGTAAAACTCAAGTCTTTCAATAACTTTCTGTCAACTAGCGTAAAACGTGATGTAGCTACAATGTTCGCAGAATCAGCTACAGGTGATCCTAATTTAGTTGGCGTACCCATGTAAAAGTTTAAGCCCCAAAAAGTCACTATTAAGTACTTTTTATATTATTTCTGGAAGTAGAGAAAGTCACTAATAAGTGAACCTTTTTAAGTAACTATTAGTATACTTATAAG